ACTGTGGTATTGGAACAACCTAATCTCACTTTTTTTTTTTTTAGGACTTATTACTTGTTTACTGTATTTCTACTAAATTGTACAGTTAGTCTTTGGAATATTTATAGCTACTCAGGAAGTAGCTCTGTTTGATAGGTGAACAGCCCTGGTTATTATTGTTATATTGAAACTGAAATCTACCTTCCTGTAATTTCTATTCATTACATTCAGTCAGAGCTGCCAGTACATTTTAGGTAGTGTGTCTATATTAATACAGTCTGAGATTGTTTGCTTTGAAGGCAGTCTCATTAGAGAAGTAATTCTTTTTAACTGAAGAGTAAGCAACAACAACAACAAACGGCATGTTACTTAAAAGGTCAGGTTCTAGTCAAGGGAGGAAAGAGTGTAGCTTTGGTTGAGAGTTGTGTTTTTTTTAACTAGATATTTTGAAATTAAGAAAATCTACATATATTGTAGGTATGAAGCCCAACATAATTTTCTTTTGTATCTTATTTGTTTATATGTCTTATTTCTTCCTCTGTTCTTCTCTCAATGTGTTTCACTAAAAGATTCAGAAAAGATGGCAGCCCCGAGAAAGCTGGAATAGATGTGCTTCAGAATTTAGTTTACGCACATGGGGAGGAAACATTTTTAAAAAACAGGAACAGATAGGAAAAGAATGTTGATGAAAATTCACAGAGAGTTTTCTGAAGGATGGACAGAGTTGGAAAATAAAATTAGTTGAGTCTCTAAATTAGTTGAGGCTATATCAAGTGAGGGGAATGATACAATCATGTTGGGATCTGGATGAATAGTGTTGATAATGTTTTTAATTAACAAATAAAAGGCAGTTTGTTCATGAGACAGCCTGTGTCTGTCTAGAGCTGATGTGCCAGAGAAAATTTTACACTCTGTGTTTCTGCATAGAAGTCATTTTAGTAATCACAGTTTTTCTGAAGGTGCATTTTGGCTTCTCGTTTTTTCCCCTTTCTCTTAACCTCCTTACAGTTGGCTGTGCATGAATTACAAACACAAATTTTATATTTTCCAAATCTTCCCAAACTACCTTGTTTGGTGGTTAACCTATAATCTGTCCCAAATACTTCTTTGTTGTCATTCTTTACTTACTGAATTAATCTCCTTACTCTAGGGAAGAAAATGGGAAGATGAGCAGATAATTGGAAGGTGGGTGAGATGACAGTTGTTTTCAAAGAATCACATGGACTAGCTTGTTATTTAGTGGATAAGTAAAGTAGTGGCTTGCTTTTTTCTTTTGTTTTTTTGCTGTATTTTTTCTCTGATATCCTCACTTTCTGATTGATTTTCATCAATTAATTATATTTTGGCTCTCTAAATTCTGAGCCATTTCAAATCAGAGTTATTGTAAAGAAGTAACTGGTCTGTAAGTACTATGTAGTTATTTGAGACACCATCTCTAAGTAACAGCTTAATATTGTTTCACCACCCACTGTGGGAACCACCTCTAGCACCTTAAACAAAAATGTACTATGGGTAGCCTGCTTGAATGGCTGTTCAGATTTTACCAGATTAGTGTTGCCTTCTCTCATTCTTTTTTTTTTTTTCCTAAAACATTTATTTTATTTATTTGAACAAGTTATAGAGAGAAGTAAAGACAAAGAAAGAGGTCTCCCATCCACTGGTTCACTCCCCAGGCGGCTGCGACGGCCAGAGCTGTGCCAATCCGAAGCCAGGAGCTTCTTCCGGGTCTCCCACTCGGGTCTAGGGGCCCAAGGACTTGGGCCATCTTCTACTGCTTTCCCAGGCCATAGCAGAGAGCAGCTGGATCAGAAGTGGAGTAGCTGGGACTAGAACCGGCACCCATATGTGATGCCAGCGCTTCAGGCCAGAGCTTTAATCTGCTGTACCACAGCGCCGGCCAACCTTCCCTCATTCTTAAGTTCACTTTTCAGATTACCTTGTTTTAATGTTATAATAAAAATAATTAATGCAATAGATAAATTATTAGCCACTACTTCTGCCCTTCCTGTCACCAGTCTAAACTGATGTTATGATGGCCATCATACTTGAGTGACTGGTTATACATAATGACAATTTGAAGCCTCTTGAACTTTGCTATAATGAATCTTTACTATATTTCAACCTTTCTTATATATATGAATTCTGAACCTTTTTATTTTGGTTTGAGAAAAGAACTAAATATGGACTTTATGTGATAAGATATTTGAGATACAATGACAATAGTGTTAGCTGTAGAAAACTTGGACATACAAAGAAAGAAGAAGAAAATGATATTCCTCAAATTAAGAAATAATTCCTAATATTTTTGTAATTTAACAAGTTGAAAATTTATTTTGGACATAATATATTATGTATTAGCAATTTATTTTTTATTTTTATTTTTTATTTTTTGACAGGCAGAGTTAGCGAGAGAGAGAGAGACAGAGAGAAAGGTCTTCCTTCTGTTGGTTCACCCCCAAATGGCCACCATGACGAGCGCAATGCGCCGATCTGAAGCCAGGAGCCAGGTGCTTCCTCCTGGTCTCCCATGTGGGTGCAGGGCCCAAGCACTTGGGTCATCCTCCACTGTTTTCCTGCGCCACAGCAGAGAGCTGGACTGGAAGAGGAGCCATCAGGACAGAATCCGGCACCCCAACCGGGACTAGAACCCGGTGTGCCGGTGCCGCAGGTGGAGGATTAGCCTAGTGAGCCGCGGTGCCGGCCTGTAAGAAATTTAATATCATCCTGTGTCTTAGCATTATTTTAACATTGATTGTTACAATATAGATAGATAGATAGATAGATAGATAGATAGATAATTTCCACATTTTGGTTATCTAATTGCTTAACTTTGCCACTTTTTTTTTTTTATAAAGATTTTTATTTATTTGACAGGTAGAGTTACAGACAGTGAGAGAGAGAGAGCGTGAGAGAGAGAGAAGGGTCCTCCCTCCGCTGGTTCACTCCCCAAATGGCCGCAATGGCCAGAGCTATGCCTATCCGAAGCCAGGAGCCAGATGATTCCTCCTGATCTCCCCTGCAGGTGCAGGGGCCTAAGCACTTGGGCCATCCTCCACTGCTTTCCCAGGCCATAGCAGAGAGCTGGACTGTAAGAGGAAAAACCAGAACTAGAACTGGAACCCATATGGGATGCTGGCGCCACAGGCGGAGGATTAACCTAGTGCTCACAGCGTGGCACCGCTACTTTTTTTTTTTTTTAATAAAGATTTATTATTTATTTGAAAGGCATTTATAGAGAGAGAGGGAGAGAGGTTTTCCATCCGTTGGTTCACTCTCCAGTTGGCTGCAAGGACTGTAGCTGTGCCAATCCGAAGCCAGGATCTAGGAGCTTCCTCCTGGTCTCCCATGCTGATGTAAGTGCCCAAGGACTTGGGCCATCTTCTACTGCTTTCCCAGGCCATAGCAGATAGCTGGATCAGAGTGGAGCAGCCAAGAAACGAACCGGCGCCCCTATGGGAGGCAGGCAGCAGCTTTAACCTGTGGCAGGGGGCTATGCACTTGGGCCACCTTCTGCTGCTCCCCAGATACATTATCAGATAGCTGGATCAGAAGTAGAGCAGCTACAACTCGAGCTGCATTACAGGCAGTGGCTTAGCCTGCTATGCTGTAACGTCTGGTCTGACAGCACCTCTTGTAGTTGGATACCAGCTAATTGAAAAAAGTTTGGATTGACATACACCAAGTATAAAACAGGGTTATTTCTGAGTACTGAGTTTATAGCTGATTATTACTCATTCTTAGCATTCTGAAATTGGTATAATTCCTAGGAAAATGCAGACAAATCATAGTGCTTTTCCATGATCGATATATCTTTATGTCCTGATTTATGCAGATTAAGCTGTCTCTTGGGATAATCATATCTTGTATTTTGAGTTCCAATTGCTCTGCTTCCGATCCAGCTTCCTGCTAATGCACCTAGGAGATGGGAAGATGGCCCAAATATTTGGGAGACCCAGATGAAGTTCTTGACTCTTGGCTTTGGCCTGGCCCAGAGCTGGCTGTTGTGGGCATTTGGGGAGTGAACCAGTGAATGAAGATCTCACTGTTGGTCCCTAACTCTCTTGCTCTGCTTTTCAAATAGAAGAAAGTAAATATTATTTTTCTTTTTTATCTTTTTTATTTATTTTTCCCCAGAAACCTTTTATTAAAGGTGTACAAATTTCACGTATTTCTTAAGTACACCCTTAGGGCCATAGTGATTCTTCCCACTGTAGCTGCACTCCCACCCTCCCTTTCCTATTCGCATTCTTATTTTTTACTAAGATCTATTTTTAATTAACTTTACACACATAAGATTAATGCTGTACTAAGTAAAGAGTTCAACAATAGTATGGCAAAAAGAACTTTCTCAACAGTCAAGACAAGGGCTATTCAAAGTCATCACATCTGTCAATTTCACTTCTGTAGATTACCTTTTAGGTGCTCTAATAGTTCGCACTGATCAGAGAGAACATATAATATTTGTCCTTTGGGGACTGGCTTATTTCACTAAGTATGTTTTCCAGTTTCATTCATTTTGTTGCTACTGACGGGATTTCTTTTTTCTAACCCCCCCCCCCGCCCCCGTTTTTTTAACCACTGTATGGTATACCATGATGTACCTATCTTTGGGTTGATTCCATGTCTTAGCTAATGTGAATATTGTGAATTGCCCTGCAGTAAACATGGGGTACAGATAACTTTCATATGCTGATTTCATTTCCCTTGGGTAAATTCCCAGGAGTGGGATGGCTGGGTCATATGGTAGGTCTATATTCAGATTTCTGGGGCATCTCCATTCTGTCTTCCTCAGTGATTGTGTACCAGTTTGCATTCCCACCAACAGTGGATTAGGGTACCTTTTCCCCTACATCCTTGCCAGCATTTGTTGTTTGTTGATTTCTGTTTGAAAGCCATTTTATCCGGGATGAGGTGAAACCTCATCGTGGTTTTGATTTAAACATTTTTTTTAAAGACAACGTACTTCATGGTGGTTTATCAAGGTGACATTAATCATTATATTCTTGTGTTTGTTCCCTCAGCATTTGACATTGTGCAGCAAAGAAATGGTTATGGAGAAGCCCAGTCCGCTGCTTGTAGGGCGGGAATTTGTGAGGCAATATTATACTTTGCTGAATAAAGCTCCAGAATATTTACACAGGTAAAATTTTTAAAGATTATTTATTTAACATTTCTAGTTGTTTTTATTTTCTTGAGTATAACTACATATATTTTGCCCTTGTCTCATAACTTGATATTTGTAAACATCTCTAACCATATCCAATATTTTAACCATTTATTGGCTAAAACTATATTATTCTAAGGTTTTCTTACTGTAACTTACAGTGCGAGGAGAGCATTTTGTGTGGTATCCTGTCCAAAAAAAAAAAAAAAATGTACTGGGTTTGACCAACTAATGTGTTCCAAAATGTGATTTGAAATCAGCGGTTTAAATAACTTTTTAAGTTTTTGTAAACAGTGTTAGTAAATGAATCAGTTAAATGATTATTCTTGTGAAAATTTTTATTCTCATCTGCAAAATAGTAATATTCCTTGGTAAAAAGGTGACAGTGGCCTTGTTTATTACCTTGACAAGAGTTCTTTAGGCCTACTTTTTTTGATATGGAAATGAAAAACTTCTATTGAGAGTATTACTGATTTTTCTTTTGGGTGTGCCTTAGCAATTAGAAGATAATGAGCTCTTGTAAGAATTAGGTGGTTAAAATGACTAATTTGTTTTATCTGTATAAAGTTAGATTTTGCCATTTGCCCTGCACTATTAAGCATATGTATAATATTCTCTGTCTTACCTGGAAGAAGCTCTTGGCTCCTGCCTTCAGCCTGGCCCAATCCTGGCTGTTGCAACCATCTGGGGAGTGAACCAGTGGATGGAAGATATCTTTCTCTCCTCTCTCTCCTCTCTCCTCTCTCCTTTCTCCTCTCTGAACTCTGACTTTTGGATAAATAAATAAATCTTTAAAAAAATATATTCTGTCTTAGTCCGAGAGATATTTTTATATTTACTCTTTGTTGTCCTTTTCTAAGTATTTTTATATAGGTATATCACCTCATGTAATCTTCATGACTATCTAGGAAGATGAAGGTACTTCTGTTATCTCACTATGCATATCCAACTGCTAAGCCTTTGATTAGTAAGGATAGTAGTAATTCATCCAAGATCACTCAGTAAATAAATGAATTGTTATAGTCATTATTCAATCCCACTTCTTTTTTTTTTTTTTTTTTTTGACAGAGTGGACAGTGAGAGAGACAGAAAGAAAGGTCTTCCTTTGCCGTTGGTTCACCCTCCAGTGGCTGGCGCACCGCGCTGATCCGATGTCAGGAGCCAGGTACTTATCCTGGTCTCCCATGGGGTGCATCCTCCACTGCACTCCCTGGCCACAGCAGAGAGCTGGCCTGGAAGAGGGGCAATGGGGACAGAATCCAGTGTCCCAACCGGGACTGGAATCCGGTGTGCCGGCGCCGCTAGGCGGAGGATTAGCCTAGTGAGCCGCGGCGCTGGCCGATCCATTTTCGATTAACTTTATACACAGGAGACCAACTCTATACTAAGTAAAGAGTTCAACAATTTGCATGGTTTAAAAAAAAAAAAAACTGCTCTTCAACAGTCAAGACAAAGGGTTCAAAGTGATTACATCTTGAAGTTAATTTCACTTTTTTTTTTTTTAGAAACTTAATTAACTTTAAGGAAGCATCTAAGAATGATACATCTTTAGGAAGTACTTAGTCATGGTTATAATACAACTCTTTGAGGACAGAGGTCCTGCATGAGAAGTTAGTGCACAGTGACTCTTGTTATTAATTTAATAATTAACACTCTTAAGTGACATCAGTGACCATCTGAGGCTCTTGACATGAGCTGCCTAGGCTATGGTAGCCTTTTGAGTCCACAAACTTCGTCAATATTTAGAAAAGGCCATAAGCACAGTGGAAGTTCCCTCTTAACTTCAGAGAAAAGTACCTCCTTTGATGACCTCTTCTTTGCATTGGGGCCTCACCCACAGAGGTCCTTCATGTAGGACATTTTTTGCCTCAGTGTCTTGGCTTTCCATCTTACTTGTTTTATTACAATAGGTGCTGAACTCTATGAAAACATGAACATTGTATCTTTGATAACCTTAATTTAAAAAGATGTTAATTCTAATTGCTAAGTTTAGGTAATGTCAGAGAAAGACTATAATTTATCATATATTTAAGGGCGGTATAAAAATATTAACAAAAATTAAATTCTAAAGTAGTTGTTGATTTTTTTTTTAACTTGGTCTCTGAATTTGTTATTTTAAATATAACTTTTAATATAAGCCTTTTGAATTAATAACCATTTGAAGCTCTGGAGAGTGTTTGGGGAATTATTTGGGAACAACTGATTACCGAATGAATTTAGATAAGTGCATTTTTATATCAGAAAAAAATCTATAAAAGATGTGGTAAGAATTAGATGAGACTAGCTAATGATTATTAGATATGCTAAGCATTCTATGTGTGTTACACTCATTTAATCCTTAAAACAATCACATGAAAACAGTTAATGTTCTGGTTTTGTAACCAAGGAAACTGAACTTAGAGTTAAGTAACTTGCTCAACATTCAACAACTAGTGACATAGCTGGGCCTGGAGCCTAATCTGTTTGATATGTGGACCTTTTACCTCCTAGGCTTCTCTTGAGAATTCAGCATTAATCTTCAATTATTGATGGTTTTGCAGGTTTTATGGCAGGAATTCCTCCTATGTTCACGGTGGTGTAGATGCTAGTGGGAAGCCCCAGGAAGCGGTTTATGGCCAGAATGTAAGTACTGTGTCATAAGGATTTAGATTTTTGTTTTTGTACGTTAAGATAGAGATTTCAAAAGTAGCCTTCTTGTGCCCATGGATTTTTTTTTTTTTTTTTTTTCAATTTGATCAGTTGTAACTGGAATTTATATATCAGTAGTTATCTAGAGTGCTCTTGGTTCTTAAACATTCAATTTTTGGTAAACTGTGATACTACATTGAGATGGATACAGTGGAGAAGATGGGATGTTTTATATCCTTATTTTTTTTTTTAAAGATTTCTTTATTTGAAAGTCAGAGTCACACTGAAAGAGAAGGAGAGGCAGAGAGACAGAGAGAGAGAGAGAGGTCTTCCATCCGCTGGCTCACTCCCCAATTGGTCGCAATGGCCAGAGCTGTGCAGATCCAAAGCCAGGAGCCTCTTCTGGGTCTCCCACGCGGGTCTAGGGGCCCAAAGACTTGGGCCATCTTCTACTGCTTTCCCAGGCCATATCAGGGGGCTGGATTGGAAGTGGAGCAGCTGGGACTTGAACTGGCGCCCATATGGAATGGCGGCATTGCAGGTGGCATCTTTATCCACTATGCCACAGTGCTGGCCCCATCCTTGGTATCTCTTATATGTGGAATACTTACGACAGTTTATTAAGTTTATATATATATCTGTGGTTTAAACTCTATGTTATAGGAATGCACGGAAATATTTGCTTCTTAGGACTTGAAAGGAAACCTTTGGAGAGATGTGGGACTTGACTTTACCAAACAAGAATAAATTGGAAAAAAATGCCATCAGCATGTACCAAAGTAAAGTAAAATTAAGTGTGAGGTCAAGGAGCAGTCAGTACAGTCTGTGAGGAGAGCTAAATGTTTATCAAAGAAAAATAGGAGAAAGCTGTAGAAAGCACAACAGGGAACTGTTGTGATATCTTACATAGAGAGGTGACATGTTGAAAATGGTGATTTAGAAATACCAGTCTGGCGGTGGTGCATAATAGCATAATGGGAAATGGATTCAAATGAAACAGATTAAGTTGTTAACATGTTAGAGTTCAGAGGCAATCAGTGAGGGCAAGTATACAGCATTGTGTAGGTAATGAGTAATCACATTTCCCCCCCCCTTCCTTATAAAGGATATACACCACAAAGTGTTATCTTTGAACTTCAGTGAATGTCACACTAAGATTCGTCATGTGGATGCTCATGCAACCTTGAGTGATGGAGTAGTTGTCCAGGTCATGGGTTTGCTGTCTAACAGTGGACAGCCAGAGAGGAAGTTCATGCAGACCTTTGTTCTGGCTCCTGAAGTAAGTTTCTGTTTTCTCTTAGCTTTCATTTATATAATTTAATTTGGCTCATATACTTGGTTGAATTGTCTAAGAGTTTCTTCTAATAGGCTTAGGTTTGCTTTTTTTTTTTTTTTTTTTTTTTTTTTTGGGACAGGCAGAGTGGATAGTGAGAGAGAGAGACAGAGAGAAAGGTCTTCCTTTTTGCCATTGGTTCACCCTCCAATGGCCGTCACGGCTGGTGCGCTGCGGCCAGTGCACCACGCTGATCCAAAGGCAGGAGCCAGGTGCTTCTCCTGGTCTCCCATGGGGTGCAGGGCCCAAACACTTGGGCCATCCTCCACTGCCTTCCCGGGCCACAGCAGAGAGCTAGCCTGGAAGAGGGGCAACCAGGAAAGAATCGGGCGCCCCAACCGTGACTGGAACCTGGTGTGCCGGCGCCGCTAGGTGGAGGATTAGGATTAGCCTATTGAGCCGCGCCGCCGGCACATATTGTTATTTTTAAAGAAGTTTTTTTGGGTCTGTTAAAATTTGAGTTTGTATACATGTGTGCCTTGACTACTTGGGATTAAATCAGATAGTGATACAAGTGTGTAAATGAATGTTTAATTACAGCAATAATCAACAATAATACAGAAGGTATATTTGTATGTCTCAAAAGTTACTTTTTTAAAGACTTATTTATTTATTTATTTGAAAGGCAGAACCACAGAGGGAAGGACAGAGAGTAAGAGGTCTTCCAGCCACTGGTTCATTCCCCAGATGGTTGCAACTGCTGCAACTCTGTCATGCCCAGGAGCCTGGGGCTTCCTCCAGTTCTACATGATTCTGGGGGCCCAAGGACTTAGGCTATCTTCTACTGCTTTTCTAGGTGCATTTGCAGAGAGCTGGATTGGAAGTGGAGCAGCCAGGGATTGAACCAGTTGCCCATATGTATGGGATGCTGGCATTGGCAGGTGGCTGCTTTATTGGCTACCACCACAGCACTGGCTCTTTTCTGTTGAATATTCATTTTGTGAGGTCTGATGATCCTTGAATGAACTTTTTAGAGTTTACTTTATATTAACATCATAACATGATCTGCTCTGGAAAATTATATTGATTGCAGAATATTTATTAAGGAAATTATGTATGCCATGTAATTTGTTCTTTAGACATTTATGGATTATTTGCATGTTATTTTCCTATAGGGATCTGTTCCAAATAAGTTTTATGTTCACAATGACATGTTTCGTTATGAAGATGAAGTATTTGGTGATTCTGAACCAGAACTTGATGAAGGTGAGGTTACTTTGTTGATAGAAGGGCTCTACCAGTACTTTTAAGGACACTTTGATTTCTATAAGACTTAGAGAAATTTGCATCTACTTTTTTTTTTTTTAAAGATTATTTATTTGAAAGAGTTGCACAGAGAAAGAAGGAGAGAGGGGGGGGGTCTTCCATCCGCTGGTTCACTCCCCAGTTGGCTGCAATGGCCAGAGCTGTGCCGATTCAGAACCAGGAGCCAGGAGCTTCTTCCCAGTCTCCCACATGGGTACAGGGGCCCAAGGACTTGGGCCCTCTTCTACTGCTTTCCCAGGCTATTGCAGACAGCTGGATTGGAGTGGAGCAGCTGGGATTCAAACTGGTGCCCATACGGGATGCCAGCACTGGAGGCTGCAGCTAAGCCATGGCGCCCACTCCAATTTGCATCTATTTTAATTGAATCAACCTCCTTTACTCCTTATTTTTCTCTTTGTTACAAAAGGTATAGATGTTCATTATATGAAGTTACATAAAAAGCAGACATAGGAAGTGAAAAATTTTCTTCCATCAGTCTCATCCATGTTTGGTGCTAACTACAGAGTTGTTTTGGATCCTGTACTTAAAATTTTTATAGAAATGCTGACTCAAATCTTTTTTGCCCTTAATATATCCTTGTTGGCTGTCCATTTGGTGGCTTTGCCATAATTATTTTAATAAATTTTCCACTGAAGGGTACTGGATTGTTTTCCTTTGTTTTTCATTATTGCCATGTTACATCAGTGTGACAAAGGAAACTGAATTAGAGTATAATAAATACCAAGCTTCAGTCTGCTTCTCAGTTTTTTGAGAGAACAGGAAATAGTGCAATTGAGTATCTTTGTGCAAACTTTACCAATTTTGTTTTTTTCTATCATACCAATTCCTTAAACATGAAAATTTTTATCAGAAATTATGTAAATCTTCTTTGCAAAAAATCTGTGATATATTGTTTTATTGTCAGAATCAGAAGATGAAGTAGAAGAGGAACAAGAAGAAAGGCAACCATCTCCTGAACCTGTACAAGAAAATGCCAACAGTGGTTATTACGAAGCTCATCCTGTGACGTAAGAATAGTTGTTTGCAAGGTTAAATTTGGTCTGAACTGTAAAGGAATTTGCAAGGTGGTTTTTATTCTAAGAATTATTGTTAGAAATAAATTATTGATAAAACTAGCTATTTAGGTCTATTTCTCCCTTTCTCCCTCCTTCTCTTTCTCCACACACATATGCAGAAACCTTAAACTTCAGAAATAAAACTTTACATCGAAAATTGAACATGGTTTGTACCAAAGTAGTTTTCATTTATTGATAATATGGAGTCTTTAGTAAGCATTTTATTATAAAATGTGGGGCTTACAGTTAACATGAAGAAAACTTTCTCAGTAGTCTAGTTTTCAAGTGGTGTCATTAAAAGAATTGCTTGTGAATAGAACTGTTTATGAATACTGCTCTTTTCTGCCTTCTGATTTTTATTGGAATTTTTTTGGAAAAAGTCCTTACAAATGAATGTTTTATATTAATTGTGTCCATGAGATTGAAAAGGAATTGAATTTCATCTTATTTGCACTGATCATTTTACTCATACTGAAAGGAGAACTAAATATTTTATTGCAGTAATGGCATAGAGGAGCCTTTAGAAGAATCTTCTCATGAGCCTGAGCCAGAGCCAGAATCGGAAACGAAGACTGAGGAGCTGAAACCACAGGTGGAAGAGAAGAATTTAGAAGAATTAGAGGAGAAATCTACTACTCCTCCCCCTGCGGAACCTGTTTCTCTGCCACAAGAGCCACCAAAGGTTAGATCAGAGAAACTTCAGACCTTTGCCATCACTTTTACAGTTGGTATCAGTAATGAAGCATGTGTTAAATTATTTAATACAGTATTCTGCTTTTTTTATGTAATGAAAGAAGCTGTGAGGTCTTTGTTATACTGAGGAAAATTTAATTTTCTCCCTAAAAAATTACCACTAATTGTGAATTTTATAACTTAAGATTAATCTTTGTATGCAAGGTTTGATAACTTACATGCAATTTTTTGGGTCCATGTACGAGGCTATTAGTTGCTGTTTGATTCTCTATTAAATTCTCTAAGCACAGAAGCACCAGGAGTCATGGAATATCCCAACTACCAGAAAAAGAAAAATTGGTCTGTAATTAAAAGATACTTGTTTACTTGTTTGTAGCTTAAATGAGATCAATTTCCTTACTTATACCAATTAAATCTTGGAAAGATGAGTGACACCCATAGTGTATCATGTAAGCTTACCTAAAACTTCTTTTATCTTCTGTAAAGTAGGTTAAAGTATTTTTGGGTAGTGAGAGGAGATTTCCATGTTCAATTTGTTAATGTCTGTTTAAGTTTCCAGCTAGTACTCTCTTCTTTCCTATCTTTCCCCTCTCCCCTTAACACCATCACACACCCTGTCTTTCCCCAAAAGAACAAAGAAATTGGTTCTGCTAGGCTTATATATTTCAGCATGTTGTTAGTGGTTTTGTTTGCCACTTGCTCATCTATTTAGAGTATGTAGGCACTTGCTTGTGGATTTATTTAATAGCTCAGTCAAAACAAGAGTCATAAATCTTGCATAATGAGATTTTGAAAGCAGGCACATAGACTGGCATGTGTGTGTGTGCCTTTCTTCTAGGAATCCTCCAATATAGAGCAATAGTTTAGAAATGAAAAGAAAATATATATTTGGAAGTTTCCCTATAGGAATGTTGGTGGTTTTCCATGATTAGTAGTCTAGGTTTGTTGCATTTCCTGCAGGCTTTCTCCTGGGCTTCAGTGACCAGTAAAAACCTGCCTCCTAGTGGTACTGTTTCTTCCTCTGGAATTCCACCCCATGTTAAAGCACCAGTCTCACAGGTAACCAATCTGTGAACACATTGGATTGTATCCTTGTTACATTGCCAACTGCTTATTTTTTTATACTTTTTTTTTAATGAATCAAATTATGAATTAAATATACAAAAATTGTATTAAATGTCAGTGCACCCACTTTAAATGCTGAATCTCCATTCATCATCTACATAGGTGGTATTTGGGGTTTGGGTGTGTGAATACAGATTAAGTTGGTTTTATCAGTATATAATATTGTTATTTAAAAGGCTTCTTAGAGTAGCAAAACATATTCCTTTTTTTAAAAGTTCTAAATTTTATTTACAAAAATTATCTTAGGTAAGAAATTGGAAAGGCACAAACTAATGTGGCATTTTAAAGAATCTTTTTTTTTTTTTTTAAATGGAAGCTTTAAAAGAAAATACACTGCCTCAGCTCTCTCTGTAAGCGGTTCACACCATTTAATTGAAGCCTGTACCAACTTATGACTGTAGTGTTCACATTAACTGATCATTCCAGTATTCTGCTTTTTGTCTGTTTGTCATCTTATCCATTTCAGAACTTTCAAAAAATGTGAAAATAAGACAATGGCCATCTAATATATTGTTAGGTACAGTTGAGGGTTAACTAAATTCTAATTAAGTTTTTAGGTACAGCTACCGGGTGTCCAATTCTTTTCCCTTACATTTGAGTTAAACTTCATTTCACTAGAAAATTTACACTTTAAGTGGTTAAACATCTTCTATATGCTCTAACAGTCAAAACTGAGTTTTTTTTTTTAAATAACTAGTGCTTATTAGCCACTTTGTAGTATACATTATTACCAGCAACATAATAGAATACACAGTCCATTATACATGTTTTTGTGTGTGTGTCTGTTTTTTTATTTCCCAGTTATTCAGGAAATGATGGTTACTTTTCAGTCATAAAACAGGGTTCTGTCTTAATGAAGAAAATCAGTTTGTCCAGTATTGTTTGTGCTTTTCACCCCATATGAAGACCTCATAAATGACTTGCGGCTTTTCTTCTGAAACCTTCATTTCTTACCAGATTTCAATTTGGAATCTTAGGATTGTTAGAGAGTTGACTACATTTATTTTAAATAGTTAAAAGTTAGTGCTTACTATGCCTTTAATGTTTACGAGGCATTGTGCCTAAGCATTTTATATTCATTCTCATTTGAACCCTCACAACCAACCTTTGAGGAGCGTGGGTACTGTTTTTATCATTTTAGAGAGAGGAAGATTGAGTCTAGAGTCACTCACCCATGGTCAAGACAGCTATGGAATAGGCTTTAAATTCAGAGAGTTGGATACCAGACTCCCTGGGTGAATCATGCAAACTTCTGCCTTCTTTAGCTCCTTGTTGGAGGATAATGCAGATATCTGTATTAAGGATTGCCTAAATCAGATTCTAGTCTGTTGTTCAGGAAAAGTTATGCATCCCAAGTAATTATAAGCTGTGACCTTTAAGCTATTTTTCAAATTGTAGGAAACTAGGTTGTATTTTCCATTCCTGCTCCCTTAAAACAATTTTTACTAAAGTGTTGAAAGTTTTAAAGTTTAAAAGAACTTTCTGATCTCTCTTTATGCTGCTATATCTAAAGTGGATTCCTGTTTTCCACTTCTTTTAATAGCACTTCAATTTTGTTTTGTTACTTTTATGTAGCATTTTTATTTCATACATATGTAACAAGATTACTGATAAAAGTAAATCTAATTCTAGGATATTGGTAGGCATTAATTTAGAAGTAGGTAAGTTTTTTTTTCTTGGTAAATTGGAAATTAACTAGTTCATCTAAATAGCTTATGTTTAATTGAAAAGTTTGTTTATCAGTTGTGGTTACATCTGCTTTTATTGACTTGATTTGATGGTTCATTTTAATTTCATATTCTGTTGACCTTCATTTTTGGGATTTCTTATGTTTTCACATGTTCTGGTTACAGGGAACTAATTTTAAGGCCCTAATAATAGTAGGTGGCATAGTAGCCATTCTGTCTGTTTGGAACAACTAATTTAATCATGAAAATCAGGCCTGAAAGATTGTAAGTGCACAGCTGGCTTAGTTGACATATGATCATTGGTTATTGAAAGGTACATTGTTAGTTTTTTGGTCTTACATTTTACATGCACTGACATCAAGTATCTGAAGTCAGTTTCCCTGATTGATCAATGGTTTGAATTATTTGTAAGATGTTAGAAATTATTTAAATTCATCTGTTTTTAAAACCTTTAAGAATAAGACCTTTTTTTGTTGTTTTTGTTGGTTACTTATAGTTTTATTTGGCAATTTTAAAAAAAATTAATTTAAATCAATCAAAGCCAGGGCATCAAGTTGTTTGATAAACTTTGGATTGGATGAGACTTTGTACTGAAAAAAAATTTTTTTTTAAATACAAGGGACATTTATGCTGCTTTTACTTCTGGTTGTATACTAGCCTCATTAAACTTTGAACAGAATATCTCTCCTTTGATTCTGTTTAATATTCAAACTGAAATATAATGTGTGTTTACATTCCCTTAGTGAAATTTCTAAATAATTGCCTTTTTCAGGCATCACATTTTAGGTCAAATTATTATATGGGATTGAAACCTAAATATAGATAGCAGTGGTCTTGGGGTGTTATTGCATCTCCTTGTCAGATACAGAATATTCTACATATTTTGGGTCAGAGAACTAGAAATATAACTTAATTTTAATTGTAAGTGAACAAACAGTTACTGAACATCTGTGCTTAAAATACTGCTTGGTTCTTTGGGAGAAGTAAAAATATGAAATTAGACATGATCCTTATTGGAATAAACAATATATATATAATGAAAATAAGAGGGTTAAAATTCTTATTTTTTAACTAATGGAATTCCAGAACACGAGAAGCAATTTCATCTTGTGGGAATTGGAACATCTTCATGGAGGAAAACAACTTGGGAAGGCCAAGCAGATCTGTTGAAAACCGCTAGTGTAGGAGTTTTAATATACCTTTTAATTAACAGTGGCTGAAATAATTAACAAATCGTCATTAAAAGAAGCATAATTTTTATATTAGAATTTGTCTTGCAAATTATAATATCCAGTCACATAAATGATTAAAGAATTTGAGCTACCCTTTGACTTGCAAGGCCCCAAGATGATCATCTATAAAGACAAGACTGAAATTACTAGCTTTCTGATTAGAGTAGATGTTCTCCATGTCTGCTGAGTGTTTTCAGTATTCTTTGATGGTTCATATGTTTTTTCTCTTCCTTGGGCCATAAATATCTGGGCAGTAGATGGCCTGAATAGGTTGGGACTACTGAAAATGCTGTAATATTAAGGGGAAGGGTAATCGCAAATGTGGATTTAAAAAAAAATTTAAAACAGTTGCTTTAATATATTTAATAAATTATTTACACTATGGAATATTTAATTTATACAGAAATTATGGAAGGCATCTTAAAATGTCCAGTTACCCCCTCACTCCTACCCCAAGATATAGTTAGGAACATTTACTTGAGGGAGAAATTTAAATGAATGCATGTTTTTCTTCTAAGGAAGAACAGTAGGAATCTAAAGGACTTCCCTGAGTACTTGACTTGCTGCATACAAATTCCCAGAAGTTCTTGTCATGTTTTATTATGTGCATTTAAAACTAAAGGTGCCCTTTCTGGGTGCTAGAGAAAGCTGGAATTGAATGCTTTAAACCATTAAAATACTGATTTTGAGATAATGGAGCGGGGTTGTAGGAGCTAGTATCTGGCACTGAACATTTAGAATGGCAGCAAACTAGATATTTTTGTCTTTGACAAAGATGGCTTTTACTTTTGTTTATGTATTTACATAAAGTGGCTCATCCTGCATTTTTGTGATTTTTTTTTTGTAATAGTACCTTTTATACTGTTCTGATGTTGGTATAACTTTGAAAACAATGTGATTGTTAAGAGCAGCTTATTGTGAGTTACACAGCCTTGAATGGGAAGAGAAAAATTACTCTACAGTCCTAGATTGGTACAGAACATCAAAACTTATTTTCCACATACATAAAGACATTGTGTTAAAGATATTGTACATATTACATGCTTGCTAGTGATTTGTTTCTAGTTGCTTACATTGGTTTTTCTCCAGTAGAAGTATTGCTTTATAGTGTGTCTTTTCCCTTACATTTTAGCCAAGAGTTGAAGCTAAACCGGAAGTTCAATCTCAGCCACCTCGTGTGCGCGAACAACGACCTAGGGAACGACCTGGTTTCCCTCCTAGAGGACCAAGACCAGGTGAGTCAGCCGCTTTATAGCCATTACTATTTAGTACTTGGAAAGTTGGAGAAGAATGACCTTTAAAAACGCGTGTGTTTTATCCATGGATCTTTGTAATATCAGATTCCATTAAAGATGTGAGTAACCTGCTGAAATGCAGTCTAGAGCAGAAAAACCAACTTTCCAGGGGAGGATTGGTTGATTTTCTATGGAGACCTGTATTTTGAAGGTGTGAAGACAGACAAGTTTTATGTGGTTATTGTCACTGGTTTTTAAAAATTCTAAACCGAGCTGCCAATAACCTAACTCTCTTACTTAGCACTCTTATCTCTTCACAGATAAACACTAAGCACACCCTGATTCTTCTTATTTTGATTGTCTTAGGTATTAAGTAAGTTGCCATGATTTTTGACTTGTTTACATTGTTAGCTAATATGTAGTACTTCTTAGCTTGCCTTTGGGAGGAGGTGGGAGATAGTATTCATCAAACTCAGCCTGTTATTCAAAAATAAAAAAAGTAAAATAAGTGATCTGTTACTAAAACAAAAGTCACAGTTGCTGGGGGTTTGTCCTAGCTTTGCTCCTGATTAAGTAAATGATGTTGATCGGCTCCCTTAAATTCTGAGCTTCTCTTGTGCCATTAAATTATATAAATTTTTCTCATCATATGTGTCTAAATGCCTCACTGTGTTCATTGTGTAATTGGAGTATCAAATAAAATTATTTATGGTAGAGTAGCCTAATATATATGAAAGATATGTAAGTGAGATACTACTGCTATGAAAATTTACTGACTTGGCTATAATGTCATACAACCAAACATTTATTTTATGAATTCAAAAAGACTAAGCAAATATAAGAAAATCTCAGTATATGAAATGTATTGGTTCCTGGATAATGGCAATAGTTTGCTTAAAGAAGAATACATGCAGTACTAATATTTGACTTGTGTAATCAAATCAGTAATACATGGAAGAAGAGACTTTAGTTGTCTAGTCAGTACCCTCACTTTACAGGTTAGTGTCATGTTATTCTCTAACTAACCTACTAATAAGAGATAACTTCTTTTCTCTTTGCAAGGAGCTCAACTTGATTTTACTAAACTAAAACAGGAATATCAGTATTAAGTGGTTTTTACATTTATTGCTTTGAACTAGTTTTTTTATGACATTGTAAACTTTAATTCCTGTTCTCAGGCAGGGGAGATATGGAACAGAATGACTCTGACAACCGTAGAATAATTCGCTATCCAGACAGTCATCAACTTTTTGTTGGTAACTTACCGCATGACATTGATGAAAATGAGCTGAAAGAATTCTTCATGAGTAAGTGGTTTATTTTACTTCTAAATTAAAATTTCAATTTTTTGAAAATTGTTTTAAATAAGCAGAACCTATATAAAACACTTTTATAATATAACCAGTTTATATTTACTACTTTTAAAATTTTATATATTTGAGAGACAGGTTGGCAGAGAGATACCATCCACTGGTTCATTCCCCCAGATGTCTTCAATGGCCAGGCTGATCTAGAGCAAGGAGTTGGGGAATCAATCCAAATCTCTCATGAGGATGTCAGAGACCCAGCCATTTGAGCCAATACTTGCCACCTGCCAGGGTCTACACTAGTGGAAAACTAGAACTGGGAGCCAGAGCTCAGAGTTTAACCCACTCTGTTATGAGACATATTAACTGCTAGGCCAAACATCTAATTACTTTGATTGTTTAGCTTTCTATTTTGTGTCCAATTACTAGTCTTACCATAATTGATCAGAGGTAGTAGGTGTTTCAGATATTTCTAACTTAGTAGAGGTTAGGAGAAACAGCTGAATGGGTCTTAACTTGGGAGATAGAACTTATTTGGCAAATACAACTCAAAATTAAGATTTTCCAAAACTATGCAGGTAACTGTCCTTATAAAGATGAAGAAAGGTAATACAGCCAGTTCACCTGTTGGTGTCTTAGGCAATGAACTGCATGGATGACTGTATCTTAGCTGTCTCTAGGTAAAGCAGTTTGCAAATTTTACTTTTAAATGGATCAAGATTAAAGTTATACATCCTGAACAATTAAAGCCCTCAAAATACTGTTAAAATATTTAATGCTCATGTAATGTATATTTTCACAGGTTTTGGAAACGTTGTGGAACTTCGCATCAATACCAAAGGTGTTGGGGGAAAGCTTCCAAATTTTGGTTTTGTGGTTTTTGATGACTCTGAACCCGTTCAGAGAATCTTAATTGCAAAAGTAAGTGATTTAAGGGGTGTAATTCAATACTTTATTATTATTTATTTTGTATATGATACTCTGATATTTTATACTTGTAGAAAATCTTGTTAGTAAAGCTGAAATTAGCTCATTCTGAAATAGTATTTATGCAGTTAATATTCATTAGAAGGTTTTAAATTCAACAGTATAGGTCATTGTAAATTTCAGTACTTGCTCTGATGAAGATTGGAAAGTTAACATAGTAAGAATTTCTTGAATGCTATCCTATTTCTGAGAAGTTTCTAACTTTTCTATACAAGATAATATATTTCTGTTGATGTATATAACTTGCCCATGTAAATATTTTTCTCCCCTCTTAAAGCCAATTATGTTTCGAGGGGAAGTACGTTTAAATGTGGAAGAGAAGAAAACAAGAGCTGCAAGAGAACGAGAAACCAGAGGTGGTGGTGATGATCGCAGAGATATTAGGCGCAACGATCGAGGTCCTGGTGGTCCACGTGGAATAGTGGGTGGTGGAATGATGCGTGACCGTGATGGAAGAGGACCTCCTCCAAGAGGTGGCATGGCACAGAAACTTGGCTCTGGAAGAGGAACCGGGCAAATGGAAGGCCGCTTCACAGGACAGCGCCGCTGAAGCTCCACTGTTGGCAAAGGCTTGACAGTGGTACATTATTCATCGTGTTTGCATTCTTGTTAATTTTTTTGGCTTTGGAATGTGACACAGCCTTTTTGATCATTTCTTTGATGTGCAAAGCATCTTTTGGTTATCATTTAAATTGAGGTGGACATTATTTCCCCAATTTCACAACAGGATTCACATTGTTAATTTATAAATCTAGACTTGGAGAATTAAGGACTGAGAAATGACCATATCTTAAACTGTCTACAACAAAATGAACTTAAAAGGACATGCCCACTGAATTCAGGTCCTTTGAGTCAAAAAAAAATCCTCTGCTGCACATTTTGTTTAAGTGTTACTGTTTCTGCCTATTAATGTTGGAAACACAAATAGTGCAATTTGTGCAAATGGAGAATCTTGCCTTTTTTCTTGGCTTCCCCCCAAAAATACAAACCAACAGAAACTTGTTATGCACTCATCAAAATGCACTAATGGGTACTCTGAACTTATTAACATTGAAATCTGCAACAGGAGGCAACAGGGAAAAAATATCTTTCTTCTTTTCCAGTAGAGAATAGTTTGTGAAATGATGAGGGCATTTTGTCTGCTTGCTGTGACCAGCGTGAGTACACATAAACCTTAACAAGACTACAAGTATATTCCAGAAGGAAATCATTTAGTTACGAACTAAATAACAAAAATCAGAACTTCAAATGTTATGGTCTTAAATATTAGACCAGATTTAGTAGCTCCACATCTAAGGTTTTTTCTACCTGCCCCTCTTCAGTACAGGGATGGTTGGCTGCTCAACACACTCCTCCTCCCCCTTTTCCTTTCTTTAAACTGTGTACAGTGAAAATTGTCTTTACTGTATTTTTGTTCTCTGGTAATGTAATAAGCATGATGGTGCCTTCTATTAATACATCATTCCAGTCTTGCTGGTAATTTTGTACAGTATAGTGTATGAATTGCTGTGCTGCAAAGCCAAACAGCTGCGAAATGTTGAAAAATCATTGAAGTATATAAAAATTGCAGTATCTTTAAAATCAGTAAAATGGACTAGCATATTATTTATCTTGTTTTTCAGTTAACAACTTTGCTCTCTGTGGGAGGGAGTCTTGTGTGTTTGGGAGGGAGGGAGGAGGAAGTTAATTATTTGAGTAAGTCTATAGTTGACGTTTCTCTTACCTTCAGTGTGACCGTTGAAATCACTTGAATGCTTAGAAAAGTCTATCAGTTTGATGTACTTTTAGTGGCATTTTAAAAGTGGTTAGATTCCATAAATGGCAAGTACACCTGAAGTGAGGATACTGCAATTTTCGGGGGGAAAGAACAGCAGCTCTTAAGTGTTTGCATTTTCTATTTGGGGGGCAGGGAACTGTCATTCATTTTGCACAATTTCTTGAACTGATGTCAGCACCCGAATGGCTCCTGAATTTAAGTCTGGGATGACATCTTTTATTTTTACATGAATCTCTAAACAATTCTGTGAGCAGAGTTTGTAGCTGCTGGAGTATTGTCTGTCTGTATGGGAAGTTCCAGTAAACCACAGCTATGGCAAAGGTTATCTAATGTTATGCTTGGAGCAATCAGTACATATCAGTTTCTGATGTTTCAGGCAAGAAGTGGGGTAAATAATTGTGACCACTTAAAGCTGCTTGTTAGCATGGAAGACTTCTCCATTCTATCTTAGTAAAAAAAACAAAACAAAACAAAACAAAAAAAATGCACTTGACGTAGTAACAAATTGGTTCTGAATTATGCAACTGTTTGCTATTTAGTAAACTAGCAAATGATGAACATGTTTTGTTTTACATATACTGGGCAATATGAGTAAAATTCTGTCCTTTTTTTTCCCCTTTGAATGAGGTCTTCCATGTTGGAGGAAAAGACTTGCACTATTGCATTTATTTTAGGGACACAGATTTTCATAGTTTCCATTTTGGGGGGGCTTAAGATTTTTTTTATTTGTTGATTTAACAGTTTTACACTTTCTGATGTATAGTACTTGAAGTTCTTAACCAGAAAATTACGTTGAAGTTTTGACGCCTTTATTCAAACTTCTTTTAAATAAGTGGCTATTTTTCGTCAGTGTTGGGTCTCTCTCCCCCAACCATCCCTTCCTCCACCAACCATATTTTTCCTCTACTATTTTTTCCTCCTCATTTTACATATATGTATATATACATACACACAGATGTGGATGTATATATATGTATAGTGTGTGTGTGTGTGTGTATGTATAATTTCCAGTCCAAAATATTGCCCTGTCCCCCGTGAAAACTGTTTTGGCACCAAAAGTAATGACAGTTGTTAAGTGTAATAGAAAATTAGAGCAAAGAGCCATTCAGCTTCAGTCTTTACATACCATGAATAAAATTTAAAACATCATATGGAGAAGTTTACATGGTGATTGTTCACCTGCAGTACTGTGGACTTTTAACATTTTGTCCCCTTTTTCGTGAAACAGAGTAAAAATATTCATCTACCATTATTGTTATTTGCTGATTTTATTTTATTTTTTGATGGTAATATTCTATCCTTATGACACTATTGCAACCAAATTGGCTTTACCATCTTGGCTTTAGTAGGTATAGAAGACAGTGGATTACCATCTTTATTGCTGTAATGTGTTAAGCATTATATGCTAGTAGAATCTAGTTTGTTTCAGGTGGAGAATATTCTTTGAGTTTCCATTTTGAATGTGTTTGGACTAAACAAACAATAAACTACTGATGTCTGCAGCATTTATCTATGTCCCTAATTTAATCTGTAGTTTTTATTGTTCCCAAATATTCTGGTTGCATTTCATACAACCTCAGTAAAAATAAGAACTGTTCTAAAAGAAACCGCGTATTATTATTTGTGAGATTTGGTGTATGAAAGAGTAAAACCTTAACAATTGAACATGGTATGCAAGTTAAGAATTTGAAAAGCAGTAAGAAAAGAAAAGTGAGACAATCTGCTGAACACTTTTTCCTTAAATCTTAGCTCTCTCAAGGATTACTACACATATCAGAAGAAAAGGATGAGAAAATTGAGATTATCTGAAATTATGGATATTACCCAAGTTCAGAAATTGGAGCAAATTTATCAAGCTCTACACGATTATTAAAAGAGGAGTGATCATTTAGTTATGTTTCAAATGAAAAATAAAGGCTTAAGGCATATGCAGTTTCAGAACCTGAAACTTCTCAGTAGAGAAGATATAGATGAACTTTCCTGGTGATCTATTCATAGCACTGTGTAAGATTTCTATATCCGCCTCTACAAGTGTGTGTTGGGGACTGACCAGAAAAAACTTTTCTTCAGGAGGTAAGATTGGAAAAACATTTTTAGGATAAAATGTATATCCCACACTGTTGAAACTAGTCCCAGATTTTAAAGATCAAATTAATAATTGTTCCAGGAAATTTATATGATATAAAGTATTGGAAAATTTTAGCCACTCAAGATTCTTCATTTCAGCTGTGCTTTGCAGCAGGTGAATGAAAAATTAGATAGTGGTTTGAAGTTTTTCCCTTTAAGTTAGATCAACTTGCTCATCTTAATTTATATTTTACAGATCAGTAAAGACCCTTGATTTGTTAATGGCATTCTGTGTTTTGATCAGTTTGGAGCTAGAGTTCTAAGTTATTTAAGATTACTGGATAAAGTGAACAGTTTCTTTTTGTGGTAGATTTTGGTAGATTTACATAGGAAGTAGGAAGTAATTGTATAAAATCATTTTTGTTAAGTAATTTCTGAATGAGGGCTGGCATTGTGCAGCAGGTTAAGCTGTCACAACACCAGTTTCCCATGTCAGAGTGCCAGTACAAGTCCCAGCAATTCTGTTTCCAAGCCAGCTTTCTGCTAATGCACTTGGGAGACGGAAGGTGATGTCTCAAGTGCATGGGCTTCTGCCGTTCATGGAGGCAACCTGGATGGAGTTCCTGGCTCCTGGTTTTGACCTGGCCCAGCTCTAGCAATTGCAACCATTTGGGGAGTGAACCAGCAGATGGAAGGTATCACTCACTGTTCTGCCTTTCAAATAAATTTTTTTCAGTAAAGAATTCCTAAATAATGAAATAACTGGCTATCTTGACTTAGGGATCATGTCTAACATGCTTTAGGATTACAAGTCTGTTTTTAGCATTACCAAATAATGAGTAAAATATATGCAGACCCAGGTTTAAACATTGATGGGAAGATTACTAGCATAGTGTTTTTAAAAATCCTTTTATTTGAAAGGGAGAGAGATTGAGACAGCATTCTTCCATCCAATGGTTCATGCTTTAAATGCACTCAAGAGCCAGGAACTTAATCTAGGTCTCTCACATAGGTGGAAGGGACCCAAGTGCTTGAGCCATCCATCACCTGCTACTCAAGCAGGTACTCACTAGGAAGCTGGAAACAGAAGCGGAGCTGGAACTTGAGCCCAGGCACTGCTATATGGGGTAGGTGTCCAGAGTAGCCTCTTAACTGCTGTGCCCAATACCTGCACTTTAAAATTTTTAAAAAAAATTTGAGAGCTCATAGCCACTGGTTCCCCCACCCCCACCCCCAAGATACCCTCAGTGCCTGGGGCAGGGCTTGAACCAGGAGCCTGGAAATCAGTCTAGGTCTCCACCTATGTAGGGGACAGGAACCCATTACTTGAGGCATCACTGCTTCCTTCCAGGGTCTGCATTAGCAGGAAGATGGAGTCAGTAGTGAGAGCTGGAAATGGAATGCAGGTGCTCTGATTTAAGGTGTAGGAGTCTCTTGTAGGCTAAATTCCTGCTCTCTAGCCTTCTGTTAGTTACCAAATTAACTGATCTCTGGGAGTTTTGATAAAGCTGTTGCATCACTTTCAGTTTGGTGAAAAGTAGCAGACTTCTGATCAATTTGAAGCCAGAGTTCTAAATTATTTAAAATTAACTGGATAAATGAACAATCAATTTAAAGTTATGAAATAGTTTTTTGATAAACTCTAGAAGGTTCACATGGAAGGTAATTGTATAAAATCATTTGCAGCATTAAGTTAAATTTCTAAATAGTGAAGTTATTTGGGTAACTTTATAGTCCAAGTTACTTAGATTCTTTTTGTTTTTTAAAGATTAATTTATTGGAAAGTTAACACAGAGAAGTATAGAGAGGTCTTCCATCTGCTGGTACACTCTCCAATTGGCCACAACAGCTGGAGCTGCTCCAATCTAAAGCAAGGAGCCAGGAGCTTCCTCCTGGTCTTCCCATGCAGGTGCAGGGGCCCAAGGACCTGGGCTATCTTCTACTGCTTTCTCAGGTCATAGCAGAGAGCAAGATCAGAAGTGGTGCTGTTGGGACTGGAACCGGCATCCATATGGCATGCTGGTACTGTAGGCAGTGGCTTTACTCGCTATGCCACAGCGCCACCCCCACCCCCCCACTTTGATTCTTGGCACCTATGTGGGAGACCTAGATGGAGTTCCTGGCTTCTGGCTTCCGCCTTGCCCAGCCCCTATTTGGGTTTCTGAACCAGCATATGTTTCTGTCACTCTGCCTTTCAAATAAATAAACTTTTATTTTTTTAACATTATTTATTTGAAAGAGTGACAGGGAGAGAAAGATCTTACTTCTGGTGGTGGTTCACTCCCCCAGATGGCTACAACAGCCAGAGTTGGGCTAGATTGAAGCCAGGAGCTTCATCCAGGACTCCTACTTGGGTGCAGGGGCCCAAAACTTGGGCCATCCTCTGATACTTTTCCCAGGCCAATAGCAGGGAGCTGGATCAGAAGTGGAGCAACTGGAACACAAACTGGTACCCATATGGATCCTAGTATTGCTTGTGTTGGCTTTTCACTCCTATGCCACAATGCTGGCTCCTCAAAGTTTTCAAAAAAAATTTTTTTTTTTCAAGATTTATTTATTTGAAAGAGTTACAGAGAGATAGAGAGAGGTCTTCCATCCACCGGCTCATTTACCCAATTGGCCACAACGGCGGGAGCTGCGCTGATCTGAAGCCAGGAGCTTCCTCCGAGTCTCTCCCACACAGGTACAGGGCCCCGAGGACCCAGGCCATAGCAGAGAGAAGGATTAGAAGTGGAATAGCTGGGTCCCAAACTGGCGCCCATATGGGATGCTAGTGCTCCAGGCCAGGACATTAACCCAATGTGCCACAGCACCAGCCCCTTAAAAATCTTTAAGCTTCCTATTGCCCCTTCATATCTCCTCCCCCAATTCCTTCTCTTCCCCAATTTGTTCTTCATAAATGTTCTGTGGTTTCATTTCAGTCAAATACTAGCTTTCATCTATATAGTATAAAATGGTCTAGAGCAGGCCTTTAGAAGCACACAGCTTTGGCTTGAATGGTAGTTCCACCTTCTGTGGTGAGCCCTTTTCTGTGCTTGTTTCCTCATTTGTACACTGGGATATTACAAGGGTTTTGTGAGTTAATGTATAAAGCATCTAAAACAACATAGTGGGCTCTTTGTGTTGGCTCTTAGTGTTAATGACCCACTTGAGTTTCTGCTGTTGACCTGTGCATTCCAAGCATGTTTAAAGTATCCTTTTTGGCCACATCTCCTTGGAAGTGGTAGATAATTCAAAATAAGGAAGTCCAAAATGATTTTTGGTCTGACTTAAGTTATGTCTATCTTAGCTGTCTTAATAATGCTCACCTCTGTTTTTCTCATCTATTTATTAGCCTAAAAATGAATCCTCATCTCTTCCACTCCTTTTCTATTTGCCTGCCTCTATTGCTTGGATTCCATATTCCAGGTTGTAAGAACACTTGTTCATATTTTTCTGATCACTGGCTCCTTGAATTCATCCTTAACTATGGAGCTTCAAGAGTGCTGGGCACTGTTCTAGGTACTGTTAATAAATGAATTAATGTTCCCCTGCTCTTGAAACAGGTTAAAAGTGAAGCCCTAGGTGAGAGTGGATGGGTATATATTTAAGAGGGTAGCTAGGGGCTACACCATAATTATTCTTGTCAACTCAAGGAAATTGATCTTTATCCCCAAGATCAATGGGAAGCTGAAGATTTTGACCAGTGGATAGATGTGGAAGGGATGTAGTAAGTGATTAGATTTCTATTTGGAAATGTTTACAGACTAAACAACTTGAAGTTCAGTAATAAACTAGAGAAAATCAGGTGAAGGGAGGTTGCAGTATTTCAGTTGGAAGCTATGATAGAGTAGTGGTGCTAGTAATCTAAATATGACCAATTTGCAAGTAAAATGGCTATGTGTTGTGAGGGAACAAGTGATTAAAGAATCTGGTTTTTCAACGTGTATTGGAGAAGTAAGATGGTATAAAAACCTGGTGTGTAAGAACCAGATGCCAAAGGCAGGGGATGCAACTGAAGAATGAGGTGATTTAAAGATAGAAGCATAGTCCTGAGCAGGCAAGTTTATCCCCTCCTGAGGCAGGAAAAAAAGATTTCTTAGACAAAAGTGGTCCATGGCACATCAGAATGCACCTGGATTTTCTCAAGAAATATTAGGATTTCAGATGCCACATATCAGTGGTATGTTGTCTTAATGACTGGTTATCCTATAGGACTTGAGCTGTCAGGTTCACTTGAAGGGCTAGATAGCCATGGTCATGTCAAGCTGAATCCTTGCAGTGAGTGATGGGAACACAAAGGAAAAAAGCCTTTAAGGAAAAAGGGCATTAGTGCTAGGGTACCCTTGAGGGGGTTTTGTTGTGTGCTTGACCTGAAAAGCTCAGGCTACCTAGGAGTGTAATTTGGCATGTTGTGTGTTTGTTTCAAAATCAATACATGAAGTAGTAACTTATACAGCTTTTGCCACAATTAAAAACCAAATACATACTATGCATTTCATGGAAAATTATGAACTACCATATTCCAGCCCATTGGTTGTCCCTTTAATTACCTTAGCATATGTGTTTGTTTTCTCTTTTCAGATTATTTCTTATTTATATTTTAATGAGGACGAATAATATTTGTTTATTGATCACCTCTATCAGGCATATTGAGCTTGTTTACTCAATAATGGAGAAGTGATTATAAATGCTAGGCAAAGCATCAAAGTAAGAGATACAAAGTAGCTGAGTGCAACTTTAGGTAGGTGTTAGCTGACATTGATTCTGCATGCACTCCAAGCACAGGGACTGACTTGTAAAATATGCAAAGCCTGTAAAATTTGCAAAGCTTTGAGGTTTACTACAGGAAACTGGGATAGGTGGAGTAAGTTAAGGAATACCTGTGTGGTGAAAAGTTTAAGAAGTAAAGGGCTGAGATCATGAAAGATTGTAAACCAAGTTAAGAAGTTTATTGGGAGTTTTTGCTGATTGCCATAGAAAGCAGTAGGAAAGTATTAAGTATGAGTGATACAGCAATGCTATTTTGAAAATGAGTGGTAGGACAACAAGAAAGGAAGCAGGAGAACTGATGGGCTAATGTAGTTCAGGACTGTTGCATCTAAGGGAAAGAAATAGGGGCTGTTTGACCATTTAGATGAGCTAAATATAGCTAGCTATTTTAAAGGCAGACAGGTTCAGAAAGGATATGATAGTTACTCTAGTATTAAACAGTTTGAAATACTGGATTTGCAAAGTGTTGATTTGCTTTAAAGGACTTTTATAAAGTCAACCTCAGGACCAGTTACTTGAATGCTGAATACACTGGGTTTTTATCCTGGCTTTATTTTACAAAACTGCAAAATCAAGCTCTAGCACTAGCAGGCCTAAAATTAAGGATCCCTTAATCAGAACTGCATTCGGGAACACAGAATTAAGTGATAAAGCAGAGACAAGACCTGGAACCAAGATTACATATATGTTGAATACTGTGTCTATGACTTTTTTAAGTTGTAATTTTTTCTTATGAGGTTAAAATTTGGAGAATCTCAAAACTGAAAACTGCCTGATGTGGTCAGGATAGTGGCCTTTGGAATTCAGAAGGCAGGGGGAGGAATGTGAGAGACATTTCCTTGGAAGGTGAATGGTTATCAGGAATAACTTAAAAGTGTTTTGAAGCAGGCACAAATAATACTTAGTAACAACTATGTGTGTAAGAAGTAAGAAAGTCTTGGACAACAGTTAATATTTATTAGCACATTATATGTACCAGGAACCTATCTAGGTGCTAGCTGGTGATAACAGTAGATACATCCCACCCTTAGGAAACTTGTATATTGAGGGAGTGGCAACAAACTTCTAAGTAATTTCAATCCTGATGTGTTCTGGTTAGTTCTAGTAATAATTCCTATGAGAAGCAGCACCATTTATTTTAGAAAAGGATTAACTCAGGCATAGCTGGGTTAACTAGTAGAACTAGTAATACTGATTGGAGATGAGGCTATTCAGGGTGGTAAATGAAGGAAGATCAATTTTTGGAGACCTGATGAGAAGGCACCCTTGAGAAACTGGGCAAGAGCATTCTAAGTGGATGAACAAATGCAGAGGCCATGTGTTCAAAGCAAGTTGGTGTGTTCCAGGATGCATTAAGTAGTCAGTGTGCCGTTAGAGTAATGCAGATGATGGACACCAAGAGATAGGTAGAGTTACATTGAGAGTAGTCTTGAGGTTTGGATTTTAGTTGTATAATGGGATTAGGTAACTGAATAGGGATTTGATGTGATCTGAATTAGAAAGAGCTGCCAGGTGATATGAGTAGTTTGGATAAAGCTTTTAACAGTGAAAAAGGTGATAAGTACTCAAGTGATCAGATATTTTCTGGAGATAGAAGTTAAAGAGTTGTGTATGTATTGGATTTTGAATGTATCAGAAATAGGGCTCCCAGAGATATTATGCAATTTAGGTGGAAGGAGGTACTCAGAGAGGAGCATAAGTGAACTATTTTGGGGAAATCAACACATCTGCTGTAACCGTGTTACATTTCATATGCCCATTGGAAGTCTAAGAAGAAATGCCATGTAATTAAATATATATGGTTCAGGAATTCTGTTCTGTGAGTGGTTCATATAGATTTTTGCAGTCTTTGAATAAGATGAGATTATCTAGTAAAAGAGTTTACAAAGGAAAAGACACTGCAGGCTCAACTGTGACTCCTTAAATTCAGCATTAAAGTACAGGAGGAGAATGCAAAAAAACGGAGACAAAACATGGCAAGTATTGGTGTTGCGGAAAGCTGAATTTCTCAGAGGGAAAAGGATAAGCTGTTGTGTGAAAAAAAAGCTTAGAAGTCAAAATAGCAAGTGAAGTAGTTACTTCAAGCTGTGGTAGTAAATAGATCCCAAGATGTTTAATTAATGGCTCAGACAATAGTTTTCTCTCCAAGTTCAAAGTATCAGGAGAGTGGTGGTGAAGAGGCCAGCTGACTGCCCCACCCCCCGACCCCCACACACATTTAGTCATTTAAGGACACATGAAGAAAGGTGCTACCAACTTCAGTAGATACCTTCAAGATCACACTGGAGTCATCTGCATAGTTGCCATCAAAAACAGAAAATGTGGAGGATCTTGCGCAGGAGATTTTTATGGGCCAGGTAAGAACTTTTTCAGTGGAGTGATAAGGATGAAACTTGAAACTTGAAAGGACTGGAGGTAAGAAATGGAATGAGTGAACATACCTTTTGTGTGTGTGTGTGTGTGTGTGTGTGCGCTATGAAAACAGGAATGGGGTATAGGCTAGAGGGAAATGAGTTGGGAGGATTATAAGAAGTATGTTACTAGTGCAAACAGAATATGTACTATTTGAGAAATGGATTCCCATTTTCACATCACTGTAGTAGATGTATTGGTGATTGAGATGTGGCACAATAAGTGGAATAGTATACTTCAAGCTTTCTGGTCTAGTTGAAGCCTAAATGAGTGGTTAATAATTCTGATTAGGTGGTACAGCAAATTAAGCCACTGGTTGTGACACCCATATCCCAAGTGGAGTGCTGGTTTAACTCCCAGCTACTCCCACTTCCAATCCAGCTTCCTGCTAATGCATCCTGGGGGACAGCAGGTGTTGGCTCAAGTGCTTGGGTTCCTGACATCCACATTGGAGACCTGGATGGAGTTCCTGGCTCCTGGCTTCAACCTGGCCCAGCCCTGGCTAATGCAGGCACTTGGGGAGTGAACCAGCAGACAAAAGAATGCTCTCTGACTGCGTTTCATCTTGCAAGTATGTGAAACTAAATGATGGGCTAGTGCCGTGGCTCACTAGGCTAATCCTCCACCTGCGGCGCCGGCACCCCAGGTTCTAGTCCCGGTTGCTCCTCTTCCAGTCCAGCTCTCTGCTGTGGCCCAGGAAGGCAGTGGAGGATAGCCCAAGTGCTTGGGCCCTGCACCCACATGGGAGACCAGGAGGAAGTACCTGGTTCCTGGCTTCGGATCAGCACAGTGCGCCAGCCGTGGCGGCCATTTGGGGGGTGAGCCAATGGAAAAGGAAGACCTTTCTCTCTCTCTCTGTCACTGTCTAACTCTGCCTGTCAAAAATAAATAAATAAATGATGGACATTTAAAAGATTTAGAGGGTAGGTTTTTCCTCCTTAATCACTTTTTAATAATGAAGTCAATAAATAAGCTATTAGATTGAGAACAAAAATTTAAAATTTATTTATTTGAAAGAGAGGGGGAGAGAGAGCTTCCATCCTCTGGTTCACTCCCCAAATGACCACAACAGCTGGGGCTGAGATTGGGCCAGGCCGAAGCCAAGAGTTTCTTCTGGGTCTCCCACATCGGTGGTGGGGCCCAAGCACTTGGGTCATGTTGTGCTGCTTTCCAGGTGCGTTTGCAGGGAGCTGGATCAGAAGTGAAACAGCTGGAACTCAAACCAGCACTCAACTGGGATGCTGGGCATCACACTGCCAGCCCCAATAAAATTAACTTCTGTGGCAAGTGTCCTGTCAAAGAACCTCAGACCTTCAAAATGAGTCCATTTCTTTAATAGAATGGTGCATTGTATTCATAGTTCCATACTCTGTGATATACTGAAATGAAGAACCTTACACTGCACTAAAAAACTTATGATCAATCAAGATCTCATGGAACCTAAGTGAGAAGCTTTGGGGGTAGAAGGGAGGGCAAGAAAATAGCTCAAGCATATTGTTTTAAGATGCCAGAGTAGGGGGTTGGCATTGTGGTGCAGCAGGTTAAGCTGCCGCCTGCATTGGTGGCATTCCATATGAGCACTGGAGTGGATCCTTGCTGCTCAGCTTCCAGTCCAACTCTGTTAATGAGCCAGGGAAAGCAGTGGAAGATGTCCCTGTCACCCAAGTGAGAGACCTGGATGGAGTTCCAGGTTCCTGGCTTTAGCCTGGCCCAGCCCTGGCAATTGTGGCCATTTGGGTAGTGAACCAGCAGATGGAGTACCTCTGTCCCTTTCTGTAACTCTTTCAAATAAATAAATAAATATTAAAAATAAATAAAAGCCAAGATAAGTAAAGAATGACTTTTGTGAAGTCATTTAACATAATGATTGCTAATGTGAGGAAAAGAAGGGGTCTGTTTAAGCTAAAATACACAAATTCATTGGAAAGGGCTATATATTTCTTAGTCCATTTTAGTCTAATTTTTATTGATATCACCTATATATGTAATACCTCAAATATACAGTGTTTTTTTTTTTAAAGATTTATTTATTTTTTTGAAAGAGTTACACAGAGGAGAAACAGAGAGAGAGAGAGAGAGAGAGGTCCTCCATCTGATGGTTCACGCCCTAGGTGGCTGCAGGTTTTTAGTATAGTCACAATTTTGTGCAACTATCACCATTATCTTGAACATTTTCATAACTCCAAAAGAAACCACATACTCATTAGTAGTCACCCCCCCATTCCCATCTGCTCCCAGCCCTTGTTAAGCTCTACACTACTTTTTGTGGATTTATCCATGCTGGAAACCTTATGTAAATAGAAACTGACTGTGTCAGGTTTCTTGCACTAAATGCTTTCAAGATTAATGTATGTTGTAGCATGAATCAGTACTTTGTTCTAGAGGCTAATATTCCACTGAATATACCACATCTTATTTATTCCTCAGCTAATGAACATTTGGGTTGTTTCTACTTTTTGGCTATAATGAGTAAGGCTGCTATAAACATTTCTGTATAAGACTTTTCATAAACATGTTTTCATTTACCTTAGGTTATGCCTAGCAGTGAAACTGCTGAGCCCTGTGCTTCTATTTCCACCCATGTTTCACTGCCACCTCTCAAGCTCTTCTGTCTCCGTGTCCCTCTCATGTACTCTCACATAGTTTTCTTTAGATTTTAGAACATTTGAACTTTCTCCAGTAGTTACAGTGTTCCTCTCAATCTCTTCCCCTGTAGTCCTACCTGCATAGTTCATGTTAATGATGTCACACTATAACCTCAGGTTTTTTTGAACTCTGTGACATTCTCTGATAAATTTTGGCTACCCAAAGGTATATTCTATCCTTTAGAACTGATCATCTTGTGCATTTCCAAGATTGAAATCACAGTTGCTTTCTCTGGTAACTTCTTCCTCTTCTTTTGTACCTATTAAACTTACTCTCTGTGCTCACCATGACCTCCAGTCCCTCACTGCCTCTTCATTTTCAGCTGATTAGCTAACTGCTGTCACAGTTGATCATCTTATCTAGGTGAAGCCCGTGGTAACTGGTTTTAATGATGCTTTCTCCAGCATCCTGGACTGCTTTAGTCCTTTGTTGAATCTCCTTGAACTACCAGTTAATTCTTTGATAAAGGTAGCTTATAAATCATCTATTTTTTTTCCATTCTTGTCCCTGAGTTGCCAAGTCCTATGAAACAGGGTCAGCTGGTTTCACTGTCAACTCACAGGATACAGGCTCAAGTGGGCACATTTTACTATCTTGTATTATTCCTTTCATATTAAAATAACTCTTGTCATAATTATTTCAAGGAATTTCTATCTTCAGTTTCTTGCATCTCAATCTTAGAAGTACCGTTTTATGCAAAAAAAGTTCTCTCTCTCTCTCTCTCTCTTTTTTTTTTTTTTTTTACGATTTCTTTGACAATTACAGAGAGAGGGAGAAAGAGATCTTCCATTTCCTTGCTGACTTCCCAAATGGCTACAATATTTGGGGCTTGGCCAAGGCAGAAAGGAGGAGCCTAGAACTCCACTGGGGTCTCCCATGTGGTTGTAGGGGCCCAAGTACTTGGCCCATCCTCTGTGTTTTTCCCAGGTGCATTAGAAGGGAGCTGGATAGGAAATGGAGCAGCAGGAACTTGAACTAGAGCTCATGGGATACTAATATCATTACAGGTGGTAGCTTTACACACTGCACGATAATGCTGATGCCCCCAAAATGAAGTTTTTTTGCTGAGAATGTCTAGGCCAACTAATGTCTATCTTATGCTTTTCTCAATTTTTCATCTTTTCTCTATACCTCATCAAACCTAAGCCCTTTTCATACTCTATTGTCTTCTTATTTCTACTACATGGTATTTCATTAAGTCATTTTGTTGACTAAAGCTTCTCTTCACTGGTTTTCCCTATAAATATTTCTCTGTTTCACATAATGCTACCTGTTCTTCAACAATCTTGTGATAAGGGTCATTTGGTGCAGCACCTAAGAGCCCTCCTGGGACGCCTGCCTCTGCTTCTGATCCAACTTCCCACTAATGCTCACCCTAGGAGGCAGCAAGTGATGAATCAAGTTCATGAATACCTGTTACCCATATGGAAGACCTAGATGGAGTTCCTGGCTCCTGACTTCATCCTGGCCCAATCCCAGCTATTGCAGGCATGTGAGAAGTGAACCAGCAGATGGAAGATCTCTCTCTGTTGCTCTTTCAAATAAGGCATGATTCCCTTCAACTTGGTCACAGCTAAAAAGAGAGCTAATTGCTACATGAAGACAGATCCTAGGTCCAGGATTTTTGGCATGATAGTTAAGTTGCTTGAGGCCCCCACATTCCATATCACAGAAACTGGGCTGGAGTCCTGCTTGTACTCCTGATTTAATCTTCCTGCTAATGCACAGGTGGGAGACAGCAGGTAATAGCTCAAGAAGTTGGGTTCCTGCTATTCACGCGGCAAAGCAGAATAGAATTCCTGGCTCATGCTTCAGCCTGACCCAACTCCGGCTGTTGTGGGCATCTGGGGAATGAACCAGCAGATTCAAGATGGTCTCTCTGGCTTTCACATAAAGAAGAACAACAAAAATCTCAGATTAACCAAAGAATTATACTTTTTCCATTCCCAGGTTCCAGATCTGGTTCTCAATATTATGGGCTTAGGAATTCGGTTTTAATCAGTTTGATGGAGGTAATTAAGCAGGTTAAAGGATTATAAATGGAATGTTTAATCAGTAATACCTTAATATTGACTGGGGGTATTAAATGCTATCCAGGAAACTCTCGCTCCTCAATATATAGAGACAAAATATGAATATAAAATGTTGCCATGACTGAATGTGAAAATAATTGACCACATGGCCTCCTCACTGCCTCAAATCCCTTGAAAATGAGGACAGTCCTGTTTCTTGCCTGGCTTCAGCGTTGCCCAGCCGTGGATCCAGTCGGCCCGTGTCACACACACGTTTAACTTGAAACATCCTGAGCCCCCATCCCACCCCGTGTGGCTGCCACGCGCAGGGCCGTGCATGTCTTCCAGCTGCCCAACCACCCCAGCCCTTCCCCCGGCTCCACTCCAAGCGTCTCCCTCACTGTCAGGGCCCTTGGTTTCCCCTCGGCGTCAGGTCTGTCACCGCCTGCCTGCCTTACACCCATCTCTCAGACTGTCGTCCTCAAGTCCCACCTTCCCCCTACTGGCCCTGCCGCCCCGCGAGAGAAAAGCTTCAGAAGCCTGCGATGGCGGCCAGGCTGAAGCCCGGGGTGAGGGCGCCAGGCCGGCTCCCCTCCCCAGGCCGGCAGGGAAACTTCGCGAAACACTGCACCGCGTTCTCCACAGTTCTCCACAGGCCTCCGCGACCGCCACCTTTACCCTCTCGGGGGGAGGCAGACATCGCCTCCCACTCCAGTTACAGTGGGCAGAAGTCTTCGCGCGCGAAGGCAGAAGGGCGCCTCCCAACCTGAGGACTTAGGTGTGCCCGGGTGGTGTAGGCGTCTGCGCCTCAGGGAGCCGAACCTGAGCCGAGCCCCAGGTGAAGGGGCGGGCTGCTGGACGACAAGCCAATCGCGGGGCCTGACAACAGCGCTTGGCCAATCAGAATCGGGGAGGCTGCTGCTCTGGGGCGGGCCGGGGCGGATGAGGGCCCGCCCCCTTGCAGCGCAGCGGCCAACGCCTCCGCCCCGGGCTAGTTGGAGCGGTGCTGGTTCGCCGACTCCAGGGGCCGGGCGCCGGCGGTGCTGACAGGCCGGGGCCCTTGCATCCCGGGCAATCTCTCCACAGGCCTCGGCCTCCCCGCGTGTGGCTGCCCGCCGCGGACGCGTCCCTCTCGGGGTACTGTGCCATGGCTGGGGCCGGAGTGAGGCTGTTGCCTTGACGACAGCATGCGGCCGGCGGCCCTGCGAGGTGTGAGCTTGCGGCCGGCGGGCCGAGGCGGCTCGGCTTCCCTGCCTGCTTCCCCCGGGGGCCGGGACTGCGTCGGCGGCGTGTGTCGCCCCGGCGCTGGGGCTGCTGGTGTGCAGGGCAGCGTCTTCTAGACCTGCGAGCGACATGCATTTCGCCTCAGATGTGTTCCCAAGTTGAAAACCTTCCATGCGAGAGGATTTGAAGAAAGAGTAAGTGTAATACTTACAGAACCGATTACCTCGTTGCTTTCTTTGCAGAAGAGTTTAATCTGTCTTTAACTATATATATAATTATATAAAATATATATAATTAACTATAATATATACATAGTATATAATATATACATAGTATATGTATTAGGAATGGCACTGTCCAGTATTTTACCTAAATTGTTGGTATTTAGAACCGTATGTTTGTTTACAGGGCATTTGTCCAGAAAGACCTCATTGGCCGGGTTGGTTTTTGTTTGGCTTTGTTTTGGGTGGGTGAGGCCGGTGTTTGTATTATTCAAGAAGAGATGAAAAGTTAAAAGTTTATGAGTAAGCGTTTCAGAAAACAAGGGGCTCTGTGGACGTGATTCTGTAGGATTCTGTGTGCCATGGGGTGTGTCCGAAAGTGCAGACTGTGGGGAGAACAGACTTGGAGTCGGCCCCTGCGTGCTGTTAGCCTGAGAGTGCCTCGGAGAGAGCCTGCTCCTGAAGCCGGAGCCGGCTTCAGGTAACTTCTATTCTGTTCGCTTTGCATATTCAAATACGAAGAGCATCAATTCCAAAGTGTTTTAGAAGGGTTGGCATTGCTACCCTAAACCTCATCCTTAATAGAACATACTTTCCTAACGGAAGGGGGGAATTAAGGCAAGGAAGGAGGGAATTACACTGAAACGATTTTTGAAACACAAACATTTTATTTACAAATATTTACGAGAAGTTAAAATGTCATATGTATGGGAAGTGAGGGGTTGGGACACTGCTCTGTAAATGGTTCATAGTAGATGCTCCTGTCAAAAGTGATAGTGAGGCCGGCGCCGCGGCTCACTAGGCTAATCCTCTGCCTGCGGCGCCGGCACACCGGGTTCTAGTCCCGGTCGGGGCGCCGGATTCTGTCCCGGTTGTCCCTCTTCCAGGCCAGCTCTCTGCTGTGGCCCGGGAAGCCAGTGGAGGATGGCCCAAGTCCTTGGGCCCTGCACCCCATGGGAGACCAGGAGAAGCACCTGGCTCCTGCCTTCGGATCAGCGCGGTGCACCGGCCGCAGCGCGCCAGCTGTGGCAGCCATTGGAGGGTGAACTAACGACAAAAGGAAGACCTTTCTCTCTGTCTCTCTCTCTCACTGTCCACTCTGCCTGTAAAAAAATAAAAAAATAAAAAAAGATAAAATAAAATAAAGAAATGAGTTGGTGTTGATTGGGATTGCTTTCATTCTTTTGAAGATCAGACTTTTTTTTTTTTTTAAGATTTATTTATTTACTTGAAAGTCAGTTACACAGAGAAAGAAGGAGAGGCAGAGAGAGAGAGAAAGGTCTTCCGTCTGTTTGTTCACTCCCCAGATGGCCGCAACAGCTGGAGCTGCGCTGATTCGAAGCCAGGAGCCAGGAGCTTCTTCCGGGTCTCCCATGTGAGTGCAGGGGCCCCAGGACTTGGGTCATCTTCTACTGCTTTCCCAGGCTATAGCAGAGAGCTGGATGGGAAGTGGAGCAGCCAGGACTTGAACTGGCGCCCATATGGGATGCCGGCACTGCAGGCTGTGGCTTTAACCCACTGTGCCACAGCGCCGCCCAAAGATCAGACCTTTGGTTCTCCATGTGTAATCTATTTTGAAAATATGTGCTTAATAAAATCTCAAAGTACTGACTGAAGATGTATCATATATTTTGTATTACCACAGTTTGTTAAAGAGAATGTTTGTTTTGTCTTTCCCATCAGTGTCCAAGAGAAACAAAAAATCACCACTGTTCTCAATCTGGATAAATTAGTTTTAGGTTGTTTTTAGTGCACAATTAATATAATAAATAAGATTTTTTTTTCTCTCCAAAGTCTTATGAATGAGTGTTTTTTCTACCACTGGATTAAAAAAATCAACTAAATTAACATTTGAATATATAGTTATCAGAAGACTTTGATTTTTTCTTCCCAAACCTTTGGAAATACATTGGGATTTATAACAGTATTTTTTTTATTCTTGGCTTCTGGAATTTAATTTCCAAATCTGATTTTAAAAATAAACAGGGTCAGCTCTGTGTCATAGCAGCTAAAAGCTGCCGCCTGCAGTGCTGGCATCCCATATGGGCACAGGTTTGAGTCCTAGTTACTCTACTTCTGATCCAGCTCTCTGCTGTGGCCTAGGAAAGTAGTGGAAGATGGCTCAAGTCCTTGGGCCCCTGCATTCATGTGGGAGACCCGGAAGAAGCTGTTGGCTCCTGACATGGGATAGGGGCAACTCCAGCTGCTGCAGCCATCTGGGGAGTGAACCAGCAGATGGAAGACCTCTCTCTCTCTCTCTCTCTCCCTGCTTCTGCCTCTCTGTAACTCTGCCTTTCAAATAAATAAATAAATAAATCTTTTAAAAAATAAATAAATAAATTTAACTTCAAAGATGTGATTTAACAGCTTTTATATAGCATTCCAACTAGACCTTATGAATTAAAATCTGTATTGGAACTAAAGTAATTTTTTCCCTGCACCAAAACATGTAGAACGATTGCTGGATCATCATCAGTTGTTAGTAAAACTTCATCAGTCATTGGAAAGATTCTATTAGGATTGCCTTGACTCAGAAATCATAAAATGTTATTCAAAACACAAAATTCAGATCAGTACTCAAACTTACAGTGAATAATCAAGTTAAAGTAATTTTGACATACTGTATTTGGTAGTTCTAATATTTAATTTCTTGTTATTATTTTTTAAAGATTTTATTTTATTTATCTGAAAGGCTGACAGAGAATGGGGGACAGAGAGAGAGATCTTCCTTCCTCTGGTTTCCTCTCCAAATGTCTGCAATGACTGGGGCTGTGCCAGACTGAAGCTAAGAACTCAGAATTCCATCTGGTTCTCCCCCATGGGTGTCTGGGGCCTACGCACTTGGGCCATCTTCTGCTTCTTTCCCAGGAGCATTAGCAAGGAGCTGTTTTGGAAGCCGAGGAGCCAAGACTTGAACCAGCTCTCCATTATAGGATGCTGTTGTCACAGGCAGAAGCTTAGCTCACTGTGTCACAACGCCAGCCCCTAAACATGATCTTAATGCTTTCTGAGGTACATTAGCAGGAGCTAACACCACAAAACTAGCCCTAGTAATTTAAATTTAAGACAGCCAGGGACTGTTGTTAGTGGGGAATGGGCTGGTGAATGGGAAATACTTACATCTCTCCCTCTCTGTCTCTCATATACATTGTAAAAATAATATGGTTAATATTTCAATTCCATTTGCCTTGTCTATTATGAGATATATGTGAATATTTTGAAATGTAGGTGGGGAAATACTATGAAATTGTGTTGACACAGGACAGCTGTGAACATGGCAATTGCTCTAATATGGAAAACAAGTAGGGAAAAATTATTTGGCTGTAACAGTAGAGGAAATTAATATACCAAACCTTGTTAACTCTCTGTCTTGATTTCCATAGGAATAAAAATTCCTACGGGCTTTAAATTAAAATGGAAAAATATGAGAACCTTGGATTGGTTGGAGAAGGGAGTTATGGAATGGTGATGAAGTGTAGGAATAAAGATAGTGGAAGAATTGTGGCCATCAAGAAGTTCCTAGAAAGTGATGATGACAAAATGGTTAAAAAAATTGCTATGCGAGAAATCAAGTTACTAAAGGTGAGTAAATGCATATATTTAATAGAAAAAAATCTGAGTAATTTCTTGATTAAGGTTAAGTTATGGCTGTAGAAAATTATTATGATGTTTTTATATTTGTTTTATTTTCATAATGAGGTCTAAAGTATAAATTTCTTTTGGCACTAATAAGAAATAAAATGACTATACGAATTTATTTATCCTGTGATGTAAACATGAGAGGTCATCTATCTTCATTGCTGCTTCACACCCTAAATGGGCTGTTGCCATTTGCAACAGCCAGGGCTGGGCCAGCTGGAAGCTAGGAACCAGGAACTCCATCCAGGTCTCCCAAATTGTGCCAGGGGCCCAAATACTTGGGTCAGCCTCCGCTGCTTTCCCAGGCACATTAGCGGGGAGCTGATTTAGAAACGAAGCAGCCAGAACTTGAACTGGCTCTCCATTGTGGGATACTGGTTTCATAGGCAGAAGCTTAGCTTACTGTGTCACAACACTAGCCTCTAAACATGATTTTAAAATTATTTGTTCCTTGTCTCTGTAAATACCTGCCTACCCTATCAATCATCCATTTTAGGTAGCCTAAAGATCCCCCTGCTGCAGCCTGGGCTCACTAGGAGAACTCAGCATCCTCACGGTATAGTTGTACTCTTGCCTATGGTATATTACAGTGAAAGGATATAAAGAAATATCAGCAAAGGGAAAAGGCACATTGGCGAATTCTTCAGGAGACCTGGCATAAGCTTCCAAGAATCCTGTTCAGTGGGGTCACACAGGATGTGCTTATTTCCTCTGGCAATGAGTTGTGACAGCACCTATGAGATAGTTCCCTAAGCATTTTTTTTTTGGTAGTCAGTCACGCAGGCACTCTCTGGTTCTGACCAAGATTCCAGACACCCAGAAAGAATGCATGCATTCAGCATACATAGTGTTGTTTGCACAGTGAGCCACTTGATCAGTTCTGATAATGAAGGGGAGGGAACCTTGCTGATGATTACCAGGGGCTTATCCAGGGCCCATTTTGCATGTAGACCTTTGTAAGGACAGCTATCTCAGGTCTAGATTTGTTAAAGTCTAACATTATTTACTACTTTTATCCTTCTCCAGACAATACAAATACCACACAATTCTGAGACTGAGTTCTGCATTGATGTGGCTGAAGTCTCCTCAGAGTTGCTCTGGTACCCTTCACAGGAACTGCCTCCCTTCCCTGTGATGTTGCCATTTTCTGGAATGGCAACAGTCTGATGGGGGAGACTGATTTTCCCTTTTGTATTAGATGTGGCCTAGAGCTCTGTGAATTTTCAAAAGCTGAGCAAACTCACATAACCAGCATCTAAGTCAAGAAACAGAATGTGAAATTCACCTCCAAAACCCATCCATGCTTCCTCTGGTACCTGCTGCTTTCCTCCTCCCTCCATGCAATAGGCATTCTTGGTTCTAGACAGCACAAATTAGTCTTTTTCTTTCTTTCTTTTTTTTATTTAGTAAATATAAATTTCCAAAGTAAAGTTTATGGATTACAATGCCCCCCCCCATAATTTCCCTCCCACTCACACCCCTCCCATCTCCCACTCCCTCTCCCATTCCATTCACATCAAGATTCATTTTCAATTATCTTTATATACAGAAGATTGATTTAGTATATATTAAGTAAAGATTTCATCAGTTTGCACCCACACAGAAACACAAAGTGTAAAATACTGTTTGAGTACTAACTATAGCATTACTTCACATTGGACAACACATTAAGGACAGGTCCCACATGAGGAGTAAGTACACAGTGACTCTTGTTGTTGACTTAACAATCTGACACTCTTGTTTATGGCGTCAGTAATCTCCCTAGGCTCTAGTCATGAGTTGCCAAGGCTATGGAAGCCTTTTGAGTTCGCTGACTTCAATCTTATTCTGACAGGGTCATAGTCAAAGTGGAAGTTCTCTCCTCCCTTCAGAGAAAGGTACCTCCTTCTTTGATGACCCCATTCTTTCCACTGGGATCTCACTCACAGAGATCTTTCATTTAGGTCTTCCTTTTTTTTTTTTTTTTTTTCCCCAGAGTGTCTTGGCTTTCCATGCCTAAAATACTCTCATGGGCTTTTCAGCCAGATCCAAATGCCTTAAGGGCTGATTCTGAGGCCAGAGTGCTATTTAGGACATCTAACATTCTATGAGTCTACTGTGTATCCTGCTTCCCATGATGGATCGTTCTCTCCCCTTTTTATTCTATCAGTTAGTATTAGCAGACACTAGTCCTGTTTGTGTGATCCCTTTGACTCTTAGACCTATCAGTGTGATCAATTGTGAACTGAAATTGATCACTTGGACTAGTGAGATGGCATTGGTACATGCCACCTTGATGAGATTGTATTGGAATCCCCTGGCTAGTTTGGTTTTCTAACTGCTTATTTTTCCCCCCAAGTTTGTTTTTCTGTAGTTTTACTTTATTTCTAGTGTGAATGTATTTTAATTACTCCTGTTTAGAATTCATTAGTTCTTCATACATGTGTGATATGGTTTCTTTTATTAATTTTGTAAAATTCTCCCTCATGCCCATTCCCTTTCTTCTCTGTTTTGGGGCTCCACTTAACATAAATTAAAATTCTCACTGAATCCTCTGTATCTCTTACCAGTTTTTCTTTATATTTGCTTCTGTGTGTATTGTTTTGCTTAGTTTATTCTGACTTGTCATTTAGTTTACTAATTCTCTCCTCAGTATGTCATTAGTCTCCATCAATAAGTTGTAAATTTGGGGTATTTTTTTAAAATTTCAAATCATGAAATATGACCCTTATATAGGCTGCACAAAACAATAATTCTATCTTGATGAATTATTGCAAAGCAAATATTCATGGAACTCTTGTCCAGGTCAGTGTTGCTAACAGCCCTTTCCATGTACCATCCCTGTCACCAGCCTTCCTTCTTCTCTGAGGTAAACACTATCCTAATATGTTCATCACGTGTACCAATGATGCATTCCTAATCAATGTAATCTAGTTTCACTCATTTTTTTGAAAACATAAACAGACATGAAGAGAAAGGTACAAAACAATGAATTATAAAAAAGTATATATATGTTACCAATCAGATAAGAAAGCCCCAGACCTCAGAAGACCCCTGAAGCATTTTCCCACTTATAACCCTCAGTATAAGTCATTGTGCCAGTTATATGTATTGAAAATGTCTTCTTTAATCTGAACCTTCTCTCTGAATGCTGCCTTTTGGTAAATAGAAGTTTAATTTCAATATAGTCTAATTTTTAATCTTTTATGGTTGGTGTCATTTATGTTCTGTTTAAGAAATCTTTACCTGCCTAGAATGTAGGATATCCTTTTATATAATCATCTAGAAGCTTAATAGTTTTGCCTTTCATATTTAGATTTTAACACATAGTGAATTGATCTTACTTAATGGTACGCAACACAGTCAAATATTATGATTTTTCTCTTATGGATATCCAGTTGTCCCAGAAACATTTATTGAAAATACCATCTTTTCTCCACTATTCTGAATGATCCGTTTGCCACATATTCTTATATTTAGGCATGACTTTTCTACTCTATTCTGTTCCATTGATCTGTTTGTCTAAGTTTGTATCAGTATCCCACAGTCATGTTTATTATAGTTTGTAAGTTTTAACTTGCTTTTGAAATATTGTCTTGATTATTTTTGTCACTTTGCATTTTTATATACTAACACATTTTAGAATCATCTTATCAATTTTCATAAGATACTTGAGGAATTTTATTGAATCTTTGTAGACCAAATTGGAAAGAATGGATATCTTTGTAGTATAGTATTTAGTCCCTGAACACTGTTTAACGCTTTGTGGGTTTCTTCTTTCTTTTTTTCATCTTCTTATCTTTATACTTTGCTATATTATGGTTAAGTAAGCTTTTTTGGTAATTACTTATTTGGTGTATATTTTAAATCTTTTATTCCTATTAACCCCTCTGTGTCTTTAGATGTAAGATGTATCTCTTGTAAGCATATATAGTTGGTTCTTTTCATTTATCCATTTGAAAGTCTATATTTTAATTGGAATATTTAGTTTATATTTATGTTTAATATAATTATGTATAAAGTTAGACTTATATTTATCATTTCCTTGGTACCCTCTATGTTTCTGTTTCTCTCTTAATTCTTTCATTATACTTTTTTTGCTAGTCTTTTGGAGATTATTACTAGATATTACAGTTTACAAACTTGACTTACAAATACCCAAAAGGGGCCGGCGCCGCGGCTCACTAGGCTAATCCTCCGCCTAGCGGCGCCGGCACACCGGGTTCTAGTCCCGGTCGGGGCGCCGGATTCTGTCCCGGTTGCCCCTCTTCCAGGCCAGCCCTCTGCTGTGGCCAGGGAGTGCAGTGGAGGATGGCCTAGGTGCTTGGGCCCTGCACCCCATGGGAGACCAGGAAAAGCACCTGGCTCCTGGCTCCTGCCATCGGATCAGCGCGGTGCGCCGGCCGCAGCGCGCCGGCCGCGGCGGCCAATTGGAGGGTGAACCAACGGCAAAGGAAGACCTTTCTCTCTGTCTCTCTCTCTCACTGTCCACTCTGCCTGTCAAAAAAAAAAAAATAAAATTTAAAAAAAAAAAAAAAATAGAGGGGAAGATTCAAAAGGTTTTTGACAAGACATTTTTCTTTTTTTAAGGTTTGAACAAATAAAAAGTTGACTGCATTTAGCTGCTGCTTATCCCAAGCAAAACTTGCTTAAAAAGGCAAATAATTCAGCTGGGCGCTGCAGTTAACTAGGCTAATCCTCCGCCTTGCGGGGCGGGAACACCGGGTTTCTAGTCCCAGTCAGGGTACCGGATTCTGTCCTGGTTGCCCCTCTTTCCAGGGCAAGCTCTCTGCTGTGGCCGGGAAGAA